TTGGGCACTGCCCAGGCTCCCCAGGGCAGTGGGCACAGCCCCAAGGCTGCCAGAGCTCCAGGAGGGTTTGGCTGATCCTCTGGGGCACAGGGGGGGACTCTTGGGGATGGGCCTGAGCAGGGCTGAGGGTTGGACTGGATGATCCTTGTGGATCCCTCAACTCAGCATATTCCATGATTCTGTGACTCTGTGTGCAGAAATGCAGCAGCTCTGGGCCCCGCCCTGGTGAGGGGCAGGATGTGACTCCCCTGAATGTGTCCCCTGAAGCCATGGGGACACTGGGAGCCCACAAGCAAGCTCCAGGGGGTGGCAGCAATGGTCACCATCCATGGCTTTTGCTTTGCCCAAAGGTATGACCGGACCAGGCTGTCCCTGAAGGAGATCACCAATGTGCAGTACGTGTCCTGCATGAACCCCACTGCAGGGAGCTTCACCATCAACCCCAGGCTGCAGGTAAAGCCCCGCATGATGGCACTGCCCTGGGGTTGGCTTTGGGTGGAGTGTTCAAGATGAGGCTCAGGGAGAACCTCTGGCAGATCCTGATGTGATTTGATCAGTAGAATCATGCTGGATTTGTTGAGCGGCTAACTCCTGATGGAGGGGCAGCAAACTTGCTGCCTTTTTCTCTTCTATGTGTTTCCTCTCATTCTGCTGCTCAGTGGGAGGAAGAAGTCCCAGGTTCCTGGCCAGCCACACCCAATCTCAGGAAGCCTTCTGATTCAGACAGGCACATTCTACCTTCATTAAGGTGATATTTACCTCTGGGCCATAATTCATTACAGCTTTTTGGTGGTCAGGTACTGGAACTGGCTACCCAGGGGAATGGGGTCACCATCCCTGGAAGTGTCCAAAGATGAGTAGATGTGGCCCTTCACCGTATGGTTTAGTGGGGATTTGGGAGTTGGTCAAAGGTTGAACTTAATGATCTTGGAGGTCTTTTCCAACATTAATGATTCTATAATCTCCTTGCTCTTTGTAAGTTCCAAATCAATAAAGGGTCTTCTGAGAGGTGGCACCTTCCAGGGGCTGCTCCTACCAGAGACAAGACTGGGCTTCATCAGGGGTCAGTGGGACCTTCAGACCTTTCAGCTGTTCACTGGACTGAGCTTGCAGTGTAGCCATTGTGAAATGCCATTGGAAATCCCTTGTTCAGTGAGCAAAAGGTGTCACTTGTCAACTGTCCTCAGCTGGGAAATTGGAAGGGGGAGATAGTTCTGGTGGGATCACAGAGCATCCCAGGTTGGAAGGGACCTCGACAGATCATCTGGGCCAACCTTTCCTGGGAAGTGGAGCCTGGAGTAGTTTATCCAGCACTGTGTCCAAGCACATCAAGTCCTCACAAGGCATTTGAGTTGGGAGCTCACTGCCCATCTCTCTGACCTTTCCGTGTCTCCCTTTCTCCTCCTCAGCGTCACTTCTGTGTCTTCGCTCTCTCCAACCCTGACCAGGATGCCTTGACCAGGATCTACAGCACCATTTTAGTGCAGCATCTGACCAGTGGGAATTTCTCGGAGGCTGTGCAAAAATCAGCCCAGCAGCTGATTGCCCTCGCCCTGGGGCTGCACAGGAGGGTGGCTGCCACCTTCCTGCCAACAGCTGTCAAGTTCCACTACGTTTTCAATCTGAGAGACTTCTCCAACATCTTCCAAGTAAGTGCAGTCCCTGTCTGTGGCACTTGGAGCTTGTTCCAATGCCACGGGAGGCTGTGGACCTGTGTCCCTCTGGCCCTTGGTGAACAAAGCACAGTGTCCCACCCAGCAATTTCTGAGTAAAAGGGATGACCTTGGGCCATTCCCTAATTCCTGCTTGGTTTTGAGTGGGTTCCAGAGCCACCACCCATGACTTTGAGGAACATCAGTTAAAAGCTTATTTGCTTTCCAGCCTCCTCTGGTCAATGGACAGGGATGCACAGTTCCAGAAGAAGGTGTGGGTTTTAGGGGGGGTTGAAGTGTTCTCTGGCTGGAGAAGGAACCATCTGGAGGGAGCTTTGGGCTCCCAATCTCATCCCTTCATGCAGTGGTTGTTGGTGAGTGTGATGGAGCTGGGCTTGTCTTTGTTAGTCTCAGCTCCACTCATGTGAGTGTGGGATCAATGGCACCTCTCCACCACACAGGGACATCATTTACTGTGTGGAGCAGCCAGTGCCTACTTTGTGGGCTGCTGGCCCTGAAGAGAGGAGAGCAGTGTCTGCTTCAGCTGCTCTGCCAGAGCCAGGACAGCTTGGTGGTCTGTACTGTCACGTCCTCTCAAGTGCTCAGCATTGTATGTGCAAGATGGCATTTAAAGAGCTGATAAATCACTCCAAACCAGCTTTGACTTAATCACTGAAACTGAATTACCAGCCACTGTACCAAAGGGAAGTTGTCCAGCTTTAGAAATGTTTTCTTCCATCACCGGAGAGATCCTGGTTTTGTGTTTTCCCCAGCAATCTCATGCATTGAAGCAGTAGATGTTACTGCTCAAAAAGCCTTTCAGAATTTCAGGCTGATTAACGAAATTACAGAAATTTCTCAGCAGCCAAATCAAGGGATTTGAAACACCATAACCTGTTCTAAACCCCCAGCTGGTAATTTGTCACTATCCTTGTTAACATCTGTTTTACAAAGCAGGTGCTAGAAGTTCAATGCCTTGTGTCTGGTCCATCAGACAAGAGCTGAAAGAATGACAGGACATGGGAAATCCGAGAACAGGACCTTGAACAAGTTAATAACTCCACTGTGTCAGAAAGGAATCAGACCTGTCACTTGTGCTCAGCTGAACAGCAGCCCTGATGTGAGATGTGGGTCATGTTAAATCCTGGCTTCCAGTTAATCTGGGCTTTGAAAGGCACAGAGAGGGAACAGAAGCATTTCAATGGGAAGCTTTAATCTGAACTGTTGTCTGCTTGAAAGAAGCCAAGGTTATGGGGTGTTAGAAAATGTCCCGCCAGATCCTGGGGCTGGGCCAGAGAGTAGGAGCAGTGACAGGAATTGCTCCTCATTCTACTGCTTTTCATGGTGATTATGGGAAAAAACCAGGCTGAGGTCAGGTCCTGCCCTGCCAGAGCCACCACAGCCTGTCCCTGGTGGCACAGGGATGGGTGACAGTGACAGGGCAAGTGGGTCCTGCTGGGATGATGAGCATATCCCCTGTTCTGTGCCAAATAGTCCTCATCTCCTGGGGTGTCTGTTCAGCCTCTGAGGAACCATCACTCAGCATTACCCTGCAGGGAATCCAGAGCTGGTGAGTCCCAGGTGGAGGCTGGTGGTTCCCAGAGCCTGGTGTGACCCCCCACACCACAACAGCCACAGTGGCCCTGCTGCAGAGTCCTTTGTCATCACCAGGGACAGATCCTGGTGGGTGCCAGTTGTCCCTGAGTCAGCAGTGCCCTGGCAGCCAGGAGGGACATCCCTGTCCTGGGGGCATCAGGGAGGGGATTGTCCTGCTCTGCTCTACCCTGGGGAGGCCTCACCTCAACCTTTGGGCAGTTTGGGGGACACAATGGAAGGAAGAGATTGAGCCATTAGAGAGTGTCCAAAGGAGGGAAGGAGGATGGGGAAGGGCCTTGATTTGAAGGTGTGTGAGGACACTGAGGGCACTTGGTGTGTTCAGCTGGAGAAGAGGAGACTGAGGGGAGACCTCA